ATTCCAGGGTTTCTTAGGTGGTGCAGAAGTTCGTCCATCCACCGTATCATTTTACAAGGTCTACTCAAAGAGGGTGATCAATTCGGCACGTCAGGTAGGTGGTTCGTAACCATGGCTATAAATCTCTGAACGGAGACTTGTAATCATGGCTTTTTGTGGGTTATTTCATATTTCACCATGGTTACTAACCACTTACCTGATGTATCCGATCACCCCTTCAAGTATAGATCAGTTGGCCACCTAATGTCGACCCCATAGGGGTGTTGCTCTCTAAAAGTGATGCTCCCCTTTTAGATCTTTTGCTGTTTTGGGGTCCCTTTGTTTTCCACTAACCAGGTAAAAACGATGTTTTTTGCTGGGGTCCTAATTCCAGCCTAGATTTGGGGATCCTTCCGATTCATTCCATTTCTCATTCCCTGAGCATGATGCTCAGGCAGCGGGCCTGACTGTGATGTCCATCTTTCTCACTATCTCCTTTGTCTTGGCCTTGTTCCAGGTCGAAGTGTCCAAGGCTGGGTGAGTGCTCGCTGAGCTTTGTCAGTGCATGCTATGCTTGTGTTTGTTTGTTGGTTGGCTTGGTTTGGTTGTGGCTTGTTTGCTTGTTTGTTTTTGTTTGATGGTTTGCTTGTTTGATTGTTTGGTTGTTTGTTTCCTTGTTCTTTCGGGTGGGTGTTTGGGTGGGTGTGTGCGTGTGGGTGTGTGTGTGTGTCTGTGTGTCTTTCTAGGTGTCCGATCTTTAGTTGTGTTTTGGTGATCATCATCTTGTTTCGCCTTATCCCACGTTGGTGATTGGAGGTGAACCCCAGCTTCCTCTCGACCAGCTCCCCAGCCACACCCATTCGGGCGCTCTGGCCACCGTTCGCGTGAATTCTGCCCGGAGGCACCGCCGTTCTTCAGCATGCGGCGCATTCACATCGAGGACGTCTCCGTGGAAGGCCTGAGCATCTCCTTTCTTGGTACTATAGGGAATTTGACCCTTCCAGGTGTTGGTTGAATGAACCGGCTTTGGATTCCCGAAAGGAAACCATGGGGGATGGCTTTTCCGGGGTCGTTCCAGCTCATTCCTGGCTGAGAACCAGCAAGTTTGGAAATAACTCATGCACTGCACATGAGTTTCACATCAGACCAGCCCGCACGGTAGCGGTTGTGTAGATCCCTTCGAAACACTGCGGGTACAGGCAATCCCTTGAAGCCCTGAGGGTGTATTCGGGTTTCAACCCAATCCACTAGTAACCCATGCCACCTTCTTGGCTTGGACGAACCAACTGCATCCAACCACTGCTTTGAAGCGTGTGTGCCAAAAGGCCTCAAAAGCGTGGATGCAGCAAGCACCGCAAGGGGCTCTACTTCGCCCACCGCACATTCTTCTTTTGTCCTTGTTAGAAGTCAAGGACCCTGCGCAAGTACAGGCAGCAGCTGTCGTTCTTGGCGGCTATTGGGATGTGATGATTTTGTTCACTCTAGGTTTACTTTCGGGTGTTCGCACGCTGCTTTTGGATTTACTTGCAGTTTGAGCTTATCGAGGTTGACCAAGTACTGTGTGCGGCCACAGAACACGCGCTCGCTCTCCTTCTCTCTCTCTCTCTCTGTTTGTCTCTCTCCCCCGGATGCCTTTAAAGAGAAACCAGCAGAGAGCTTCCATTTTTTTGGGCAGGGAGAGAGACCCCATTTTGAGACCTCTCCGGCGAAAGGGTTCGCAGGCCAGGATGAGAGGCTTGTGATGCAGAGTCTGGGGCCGCATCACCTGTGGGTTGGCACCTTGGCAGAGCGAAGCCCCCTTCAAACCGCACAGACATGCTGTGGATGGACAAAATCCTGCACCTAAGACTTTAACAATCCCTGGAATGAAGATTGTCCATGGTTTCAAAGTGGCGCAGGAGTTCGTCCATCCACAGTAACGTCAGGACAATTGCTGGCTTTTCCATTTAGCTCGGTGGATTCTGCCGCTGCGGGCTCGGGGCCAAGCATGAAATCGGTCCTGGCGAGTAGCAACGAACAAATGTGCAAATCGGACGTTGCTCAGCGCCAGCCGCTTGGAAGGATGAAACATACCAGGGGCATTTTCCAGCCGGTGGGCAGCCTTTCACACAAATGCAATTGGCCCCAGGTTGTGAGCAATAGGAAGTGTTTCTTCTGCCTTGTGTGATAGGGGGTTGCCGTCTCATTTGGGGAAGTTTCCCAGAGACGAACGTTGTCTCTGGCCCAGCTGTTGCAGAAGGAAAGCCGCAAGGGCTACCATGACAGGTTCGGGGCGCTGTGCCATTCGGGGTCCCAAGTCAATCAGTGGGCGAGCGTGTTTTGACACGGGGCAAAGCAGGCCGGAGCTGCCTGTGCCCTGGGAGAAAACAAGTCTGGGATCGGTGCAGGCGTTTTACAATGCGTTTTGCACCTCAAAATTGGCGATGGAAAAGCATGGCAGCTAGCAATATTGGCTGTCACTGGCGCTTGTGTCTCACTGGAATCACCAAGACGCGCCTAAGCAAAATACCTCCTTCAGAACAAGCTCGGAAGGTTCTAGGGGCCTGCGGGGGAGGGGGAGGTTTGCTTTTGCCGGGTTCATGGTTTGCTTGCAGTTTTTGCTTCTTGTATACCATTTCGGGGAGGTCTTGCAAGAGGCACTTGGTCAGTGCCAGGAAGTCGTTTATATGTGTTGTTGTGTTTTTTTGTGACTTATTTTTTAGACGAACTCGTTAAACAAAAAGAGTAAACTTCACCTTAAACTAAATATATAGCAATGACGGTTGATGTGCGATTGTTTTCACGATGTTTTGTTTTTTTGGTTTGCGATTTCAGCCGCCCCTGCCTTCAGGAGGGAGAAGTTTGCGTTTGTCGGAGGAGGGGGGGTGCGGAACACACGCACATAAATCAAACACGTTGCGGAAATCGTATTGAAATCGCAAAAAAAATGACCTGAAACCCGAAAAGGAGGGGAAAAACTGGTAGGCGGCAGCGTGGGTCACAACACCGTCTAGCACTGGAGCAAATGCTCCGCTTAAGCCAGTTTCTTGATAAGTTGCTTCCTCAATTTCAATCGTTTCGAAATGTTGCGAAGCTGCTTTGGACGCGAAGCTTCATTTGCGCCTGTGCAACCATGCTTTAAAAATATCAAGTTTTTGCACACTAGGTTCACTTCGCATATGGGAAGTTCTGAACATGTGGCTTCTGATTGCGCATCCGACGCCACATCCTTTGTGGTAATTGTTTCGGAAGGATTTGGGCGGAACGTTGGATCCAGAGCTTGACCGAATTCCTTTCGCAAACTTGATGGTTTGTCGGGACCCGCCAGCTTTGCTTGGCACGTTTTCTGGTTACCGTAAACTTCTTGGTTGCTTGGCTTGGTTACCCGGAAGAAAGGCACTGGAAACTTCACTGTTGCAAGTGTTTAGGTGTTTGCTTTTTCGGTTCTGTTCGTTTTCACAAGGCCGCAACACAACGTTAAAGTTATTTCCTGCCATAGGGCATACCAACTCCACCCACAAAAAAGTCGATTTGCTCCAGAGCCGAGGCGCGAGCTTTGACGTGAAGCTTCACGGCACCAACCACTTCCTGCTTGATGGTAAAACCCGGAGGCGGAGAGGAAGCTGTGGCTGTGTCGGTTTTTTGGGGGTACCCCTTTTTGGTCTGTTTTAAAGGGCAACAGAGAGGAAAACCGCAACTGTTTCTTCTTCTTCTTTTTTTTTCGGGGGCGGGGGGCCACAAGACACACCCATGTGGCAAAAGGATGCTTCAAAACCGATGTCTTGGGGCTTCTACCTAATTGCTAGCAAAGAACCCGAAAAAGGTGATCGGAGCCACCTCCTTGTAAAATACATTCCATGGGTGAGGCCCCGCCCGCCCAAAGTGGTCCCTCTGAACAGCTGGGTCCAAAATCTGGAAAGCAGTTCTTTGCGGCTTCCGTTGACTCAGACGCCCAGTGGGTTCCCATGGGAAACAAAGGGAATTCTTTTTTTTGGGGGTTGGTTGAGCTTGAAAGGGAACCCTTCCCAAACAGAAAGGAACCAAGGGCGGAATCCACTGGGGAACTGGGGTGACGCGCGGAGCTCGTTGTGTATTGCCATTGATTTCTTGTGTGTCTCTGCAGCATATCCGTTACCTCAGGGTTCCCCAGGTGCAAGCAAACCGGGCGTGCTGTCAAAAGAACTACTGAGCCTGAGAATCATATGGCGATGCTATGCTTACCAGCAAGCCAGCGAAATGATGTGTGGACATGGGGCCCCATGTGCCCAAAAAAGATTACCACACGTTGAGACATGGGGTTCCACTGGCACTTAGCCCAGCGTCTCATACAAGTTGCTTTGCTTCCCCATGGAATCGTACCTTTTGCACGGCTCCCAACAGGTTCTGCACGGGGAAGGAGGGGAGGCGACTCGGGGTTCGAAGCCAGTGTTTGTTGTGGTACCCAGGCTCGGTGGAAAGGTTGAAAGCAAACCAAACGGAAGTAAAATACTTTAGGTCTCCACCGTTGTGAGACAGATTACTATGGCAAGATAAGGCCTAGGAGGAGCCTTTAGCAAGGTTATATTATACCGTGCTCCAGGTCCCATACAACTCAGCTAAGAGTATGTGACATGATAAGATCTTCTTGCTGGTGCTCAGTGAATGAGGGAATGAATCTGGGGATCCCTTTAAAGGAAACCAAATCGAGGATTGTTTTTCTTCGGTGTCGTTCCATTTCCAATTTCCCTGCATCTCTCGCAGGGCCACGGTCTTGGACCGGTTCCGCCTGGAGCTCACGGACGAGTCGGGTCGCTTCTTTGTGGCCGACGCCTCTCTGGGTCACTTCACGCTGAGCCCTTGGGGCCCGCCGGCCTCGGTGAGTCGCCCGTGTGCTTTGGGGCCGAAATCGAAAACTGGAGACCGCACGAAGTGAAGCCAAGGGAATGAAACAACGTGTGTTGGTATTTGCGTGGGGGGATCGAAATCCAGAGTCTCTGAACGGTGGTGCGAAGAGGATGTCGTCCATCCAGAGTAGGTTGCTGTTTTAGTAGAGCAAGATGTGCAGATAGGTTGCTTAGATGTTCAACCAACGTCAGGGAAGTTGTTTCATTACCATCGTGAGAAGGGGACCACACCCAGTCACCTAAGTTGTAATCATGGTTATAAGCCACCTGCTAAGTTGGTTGGACATTCAAGTGGGAATGTGGAGGAAAGGCAAAGTCAGAGGATGATGCACAATAAAACTTAGCCCTAGAAATTGTCGGAGTGTGTTTGCTTTGGAAAGGGCCCAGGGTCACTGCTGGGTGTCCAAAAGAAATGGGCCTAATCCTCAGATGGGCCCCTCCCTTTTTTGTTTGGTGCACAACGCCAAACACAAGCTCTTGGCCTTTGAGAACTTGCGCGGAAAGACTCATGCAATCCAACTTATGCCATGTTTGATGCTGACCACGCATTTCGGATGACCCAATTTAGGTGGCAGCTATTTCCGACATCACCTGTGCTTTGCTGTGTTTTGAGCTTCCTCTCACACGATTTTTGAAGGGGAGTCGTCGGGGGCTTTGTTTCACGGCAACAAACCTCTACCTTTTGCCAGCCTGTGCACATGTCTGGCCATACAGCCTACCGCAACCAAAATGGGAAACTCTTGACGGACCGTATCCTGCGGTTGGGATGGATGAAGCGCAAAGCGGTGCGAAGCAGATGTTGTCCGTCCAGTGTTGCTCCCAAAGTGGGGCGAAAAAGCTGTCCCAGGAAGAGCTTCGGGTACAGCAAATTAGGAAGCCGAGGCCTGTGCGGAAGCAACGAGATGTCATGTGTTCATCCAACTAAACAAACGCAATTCCTGCCCAAAAAGGTTTTTTGGTCATTCTTCTTTTCGTTGCCTTTCAGACTTGATTCGACGTCACGCCAAGGGACCTTCTGGTATGGCCAGATCCTCTACTGCATTCCGCTGCTCGCTATGGTGATTTTTCCTTTTGCCGCTGGTGCTGGCATCAGTCAAGTTGCGCAGACGCGCATGGCGGCTCCTTGGCAAAGTCTCTGGGTTCCAGCCAATCGTTTTCTTGTTTCTCTTTTGGCGCCCACTCGGAAGGGACGAACCCCCTGAGGTTGCAGATGAAGCGATACCGTCTTTTTCTTACTTTCGCTCATAAACTTATTGGTCACAGCCGCTATGATGATCCCACATTCGCTGCCTACATTGTATTGCGGTGCTCGGGAATTTTCACTCAGTGAAACATATGGTCGTCCTTTGCCATGTGCTGCTGCGCCAAGCACCATGGTCATCGCAAAGGAAACTATTGTTGGCGCGCCAGTGTTGTATTTGTAGCCATGAGAGTGTTGCACTCTGTGCGAAAGCAACTTTGCAAATAGACTGCGCAGTGTCGCGCTGCAAGGTGCTGCCAGCAAGTTGCCATATGCAAATTGTTTTGTGCAGTTGCTCTGTGCAAGTTCTCTGTGCAGGTTGCTCTTTTCGAATGGCTCCTTTCGAGCGCTCTGCGCAAGGTGCTTCGTGCAAGTTGTTGTTGTGCCGCTGTCTGTGCACTTTTTGTCTGCGCAAGTTGCACTTCGCATGCTCTGCGCAAGTCTGCAAGTCGATCTCTGTCCTCAGCGCATGTTGCTTTGTGCAAATTCTGTGTGCAAGAGGTTCTTTGCAAGTTTCCCTTCGTAAGTGCTCGCAAGTACCCTGCACGAGTGGCTTTGCGCACGCCGATCCCCGCAGCCTCGCGGCAATCGCTGATATGCTTTCTGAAATGGCAACCGCGACTAGGAAAGAGCATGGTAGAAGATTAAAGCTGTGGGTCAGGAGAGCCCTTAAAAAAGCAAATTGAGGGATGCCGTGGACCCGCAAATACAAGGTTAACTTTTCGGGCCACGGACTATGGAAAAGTCAAAAGGTCAAAAGCTCGGTCTTGTATCGCCAATCTGTTTGCATGTTACCCTTCTGGGGGTGACGCCCCCCCCCCCATCAATTCATTTGGGAGTTGTTAGCGGGCTGTTTAGGGCTGCGGCCTCACCTGGATCGAATTGGAAGAAGCTGAGAACCGGAAACTCTGTGCAATGGCTCTGTGCTCTGCGCAAGTAGCTTTGTGCAAGTTAGCCAGTGGCTCTGCGCAATTGGCTCTCAACAAGTTGCTCTGTGCAAGTTGGCCTTGTGGAAGTAACGCTGAGCCAGTGGCTTTGCGCAGATGGCTTTGCGCAAGTAGCTCTGTGCAAGCTGCTCTGTGGGAAACCGCCCAAGGACCCCGCACGGAAAGAACCCTGCGCGATGCTTTCAGGCAAAGCCCCGAAACAAAGATCCATGTTATCGCGGCCCGAAATCCGATTGCGGGGCGGCCTTCAGCAACACATCCCATGCCGGTGTGTGTAAAAATGGATGTGGTCCCGGCGGCTTTTCCTTTCAACCAAGCCCACGAATGGCACCGAGAAAAGACATGTTGACATGACGCGCAGCGCAGGCCCCCACAAAAGGCATTGTGCGAGACGGCCTTCGCATGGGAACATCGGTCAGGCGAATCTGAGCAGGGTCAGCACTTGAAAGAGACATGTTTCTTTTTACAAAAAAAAAGGTCACCTGGTGAAGGTGAAATTCCAGTTCCGGTAACTTAGTCACATCCTCTGAAATTGGCCTTGGAAATGTAAGCAGGAGTTCCTCGATGGCACTGGCTTGTTAAGTCCACCCAATGGATTCCCCTGTCCACGACTGGCGAACGTCCTGCAATTTGCCAGTATATTGTAGCTGAACTTGGCTCACTTGCAGTATATGTCGTTTGCATCGACCGCAAATCTGAGATGTCTACGACCATCGTTGCCAGCGAGTTCGTCTTGGCGATATTGATCTGCGGCATATCGACGCTCGGCACGTCGGTGTGGCGGCTTCGGCCAGGCGATACGCCTGCCAAAGGGGGCATCCCATGTAAGAGCGTAGGCGCGTATAGCGACGAGTATCCGAGCCCAGGAGGGGCCAGGTTTCCTGCTGGGTGCCTGTTCTGCTTGTCTATTTATCTTGTTATGTTTCTTATTTATACGTCTACGTTTTTCTTCTGGGGGGGGGGGGTAAATCAAGCTGCAGTCTGCGGCTTTCGCTGGGCCATTCGTCCGATCTGAGGAAGTCGCGCACGCGCTTGTCCTCCCTCTCATTGCGGGTGAGGCAATACAGCTCCTAGGCACTGGATGTGCAGCAGTGCATGTCCGACCATGGCATGTCTGGCAAGTAGGGTGCTTGAAGGGGCTGCCATGGCAATGGGCTTGTCTGCCATGCCACGGCATGCTCTCCCATTCGGATACTGTTAAGTTCGGCGTCGGAACAATCCGGAAAACTATGCCTCTTTTTTAAATCAATCCAAAACAATCCGTGTAGTAATAAATACCCAGGTTGATTTCCATGCTCCACGAAACGCTTGAATCATTCCTGGCACCCCGGATGAATCCGAATCGTAAGGGCAGGGAGCTTTTGTCCTTGCAACTTTGCAACTGAGGCGGCTACGCTCTGGAACCCACATGGGCCAGGGTGCACTTGTTTTTTGTTGTGTTTTTTTCACAACCCCGCTAAGGTTTTTAAGGGAAGCCAAAAGTAGATTGTTAAATCCATGGGTTTAGCCCATGCTTTGAAGGGTGTATATCGCATCCGGTTTTTTGGAGTAACCTGGGAAGCCACCGGAACAGCCGAGACGCGATGCTGGACGAGCAGAACCCCAATCCCAGCGCCTGCCCGCGGGGCGGCAGCCGCGCCGTGACTGCGCTGCGGCTCTTCGAACTCTACGACTTCTTCGAGGCAGGGCCCGGTGGCTTTGGACCCAAAAGATGGACCTGGCGACCAAAGTCGGACCTTCTTCTCACTCCCTCAGCTTCTGGACTTTAACTTCTTTGGGGGTAAGCAAACTTGGACTTTTGTTGGCCCATCAGGCATTGATAGGCGTTCGGCACCGCTCCTCTGGCTGTCGAGGGCCGCTGGCGATACTGTGGATGTTAACAAGATTTGCGTCAGGCACCAGCATGGGTGGGTGCTGTATCAACGAGTGTGAATATATATATATATATATATATATTGTTATAAATATATGTGTGTGTGCATATCTGCATATCTGCATATGTCACATCTATATCTATATCTACATAAAGGATTTCATGCATACTTGGGGTCATTCCCGCTACTCAGGGGAGAGCTCGGCATCACAAGAGCGAGAACCCCAGCGAACGCATGTACTTCCTTTGGGGCGGAAATGGTCAAAGCTACATATCGAGAAAGAGGGAAGCAGGAGACTTCGTCAGTGGCCCTCATTTTTCTGGGTAAATGGCTCCGGTTTTTGTTTGTTGCTAAAATCACCTGGAATCAAAGTCAATCCTTAATCCTGCCAGATAGTAGTGGCCCACTTCGGATTACGGGTTACTTGCCCCATGTTGCAACCGTCGTTCCAGCGTTGCTGGTAGAGCGCCTGGACACAGACTTAATCCTAAACCTAAATGAGGCTTTTAGAGGGAGAGAACGTGGAAGGACCTCTCAGATCTCATGAGAACTGCATGAGGCTCTCCAGCTTGGCGCTGCGAGAGATGTTGTTGCGGCTCCCTCTGGCTTCAGGCCTCCATCAAGTCGCGGAGCATGTACTACATCGACCCAAACATCGCCACCTGGCACAAGCCAAAGGCAAAACGCGTCGCGCTGAGCAAGCCTGGCCAGACATCCAGACATCCAGACATCCAGACAGGCCCAAACATGGCATGGCCAAGTGGAGTCCTTTTGTTGTATCCCGACTGAGTTCTTGTGGGGTGTCACACTGCGGCAACACCAAAAGTGTTTCCAAGCGGCAAAATCATCACTTGGAGAGGAAGGTTTCCTTTGCCATGCCAGATGCCAGAAGTGGGTCCCAACCAACCTTATCTCGGCAATAATGCACTGACTCATGAGCAGGATGTCCTATGCAGGCTTCTTCAACTGCTTTCAACTTTGAGTTGCATCCTCCATGGAACAAATGCCTTCACAACGTCTTTTTGTGTTCCTTTTCCAAGGACACACTCCCCCGCAACGCTTGCGGTCTTCTCTTGCCGCCAACAAACGTTTCCAACTGATAGATGTGGCGTGTACCTTCTTCTCTCACGACGTTGCAAGATATAAGAAAGGAAAAAGGGAAAGAATCAAGAGAGTGGAAAGGCACAGTCAAAGGGTTCCTGCCCTTTCTCTTCTATCACTTTTCCTATCCATGTCCATTCCCGATAACAGATTTATGGTTCATAGGTGTTTTTGGTCAGATTGAAGTAAGGAAATAGATAGGATGGAGTCACTTCATTGACGGTTTCCCCTCTCCATTTTTTCTTTCCCACCTCCCTTTCAGAGCTAATGCAGGTGGGCTTACTTTCTTGGGCCCGTACCCAAGATTGACTTCAAGCCATAGGCCGTGGGGTTGTGGCCCGTCCTTGACCCCAACTAGCAATGGCTTCCCTGGCTATGAACCACTACCCCTAGGGTGTAATCCCCATCAAAAGGATGGTTCACTAAACTTCGATGATGACCATCCTTTGGATGGGGCGGTTATTTCATGTCAATTTAGAAGAAACTAGATGATGTCAATTTTAGATGAATGATTTACGCAAGTTGAATTTAATTTGGATTGTAAACAATGGTGGGGGTATACTCTATGAGCAATTCCATGTTCTTTGCGCAATTCATACTCTATGAGCAATTCCGTTCGCGCCACGAAATGAAACCATGCTGGAAACGATATTTACAGCGGCGAATTATCAAAAATGGTTTCTGAACCGTGGTGCGACATGGATTTCACAACCATCCACAGTATTAAGTGTTGACTCAATTTAGACGACAATCCTAAACGGTAAACAATGGTGGGAGGGTCTTGTTTATCCTGGTTTGCAATTGGATGACTCAATGTTGATGACCATCTTGAGTTTGTTCCCCCCATGCTTCCCCCCTCCCATGCTTCCTCCCCTCCCCCCCGTCTCCCCCCCCTCCCCAATCCCCCCCCCGACCGTGGTTTCCATGGGAGTCTGAGCTTCAGTGACTTGGCACCAAGGTGCGGCCAGTGACCAAGCGGCACCGCCTGAGCTTCGCGGAGCGCGTGGGCCCACAGCAGGCGCAGTCGGGAGAACAGTCGCGTGAAATTCAACTCACTCCCCTGGTTTCTCCGAGAATTGGTTGGCTGGGTGGGTTGCTTGGTTGGCTCAGCCTCTCTTGATGTTTTATACGTGTTTTGTGAGAATCGTTTTTGTGAGACTTCCAGATTTCAGAGGAGGTGTTTCAGCGAGCTTTTTTTCCGGCAGGGTTGCTTTAGTAAGCAAGTTAATTTGGTAGGGTCCTTGTTGCCCGAACCATAGTCCCCACGGAAAAAGCAAGGAAGCAAAAACTGTTCTTAGACTCACTTCTTCAGCTTCTTGACTTGAACCTTTTAGAAGATCATGTGACGAAGGGGTCAAAAAGGCAGGTGCCCCTCTTGCCAATGGCTTGGTTTCATTGATTGGTTCCCCTATGGCGCTGAAGAACCGGCTCAACTCCCACCCTCACAAATGACTTTCTTCCTTGGGCTCGTGGCTTCCCTTCGATTCTTCTCCACGGGGGGCTTTGAGCCTTGGAAGGCTTCGCACATGTCTTCCCTGTAAGTGGTTTGACGGGTTGGATTTCCCATGGCCTTGAACATCTGCTTGGCCGAGTTGTCTTCAGAGTTTCCTTTCGGGGCATCTCACTCCCCGAGCTTCACGTCATATTTTGCGTGAGGCGCATTTCAGGGACACGCAAAGATTTGCCCTCGCCCAAAAACTTCCCCAAGTTCACGGTTCCCAGCCATCCCCATAGACTCTTCTTTCGCATTTTAGTTGCTTTAGTGGTGATGTGTCCATTTCACCCACTGGTTTGCTAAACTTTTCACAGGGGGTCTGAGGAATCCCCCTCCCAACCCCCCCAAAAAAAAAAAAAAAAAAAAACTCCGGAGGTCCACTACTTCATCAGCCACTGGTGGGGCACCCCCTTCCGCGACTTCTGCTCCTCTGTGCGCCGCCACGCCATCCGCATGGCTGGCACCGACGAGGAGGAGACCTGGCGCCTCGGCTTCTGGTTCAACGATTTGTTTTTGCTTGGGGGGGGGGTTGTTTGGGGAGTTGGGGGGGTTTGAGGGGTTGAGGGGTTTGCGGGGTTTGGGGGGTTTGAGGACCCTGCCGACCTGCACAACCACGGTTTCAACTGGAGGGAGGGAGGCTCAATGTGACACAATTGTCCGGTGAGGTGAGTGACCGATTGAAAATAGACGGATTCCATTGCCTCTAATCAAGGACACTTGGGCTTGGGCTTGGCCCTCGTGTTGCATCTTGTTGCTGTGTTGGGTCAGGCTTACTTCTCGCATGGGCGTGTCCAGCAAAATAGATAGGTATACACCCCTGTTGGCGGGGATTGCATGGCAGAAAAGAAACCCCGCAGTTTGGAAACGTGGAAACACGCAAATCCAACAGTTCAAACGCCCTGGGAAACTTTGGAGGGCTGCTTGAAAGGAGGTCCAAACAGCGGGATTTATCTTCTGACCCACTCCTTTAGGGTGAGCCGTTGTCAATCAATAAAAGGTGCAACACCTGCAAACCACTCCACTCAATCAGAGGAGGTTAGCTTCATTGTTGTTGGTATGTGTTCATTTGTTTGTGGTGTTTTTTGGGTTTCTGTTCATTTCCAGTGGGGGTTGCCAAAAAAAAACAGCATTTGCGCACCAAGGGTTGGAAAGTTGAACTATGGTTCTGACCTACTTGCTACGTGGGTCTTCCCTCCAAATAGGTGCTGCTTGAAACCCTCTCATGACCCAGGCTTTAGCCACTAAAGTTAGACCCTAGGGGCATCCCCGGCAACCCCTCCGGGACCCTAGCCCACTGCCCTGAGCCGCTCCAGAAATCCGAAGCTTTTGGTTGAAAAAGAGTCTACGGTTTCTCATGGCTCTTTTGGCCGGTTTTTGCTCGTGCAAAGGAGCAGGGGATTCAATTTTCTTACCGCGGAACAAGCTTCAAACGAGCAAACGGAAGGTTTCCATGCCAGTGGCCAGTTCCAGAGTTCCCAACAATGCCTCTGGGGCACCCGCAAAACATGTGAGAGACGCAGGAAGTTGCAAGAATCTGCATCCAATGTGCCGGGGAAGTTGTGTTGACCGCCTGCAACTGACACTTTGGGGCAAGCTGACTTTGCAATCTTGCATGGTGGGTTGGGCCTATGCTTCCGTCCTGCCAGTTGGGGTCCTCACATCGGTGCAGAGTGTCACAAGAATGTGTTCACCAGTTGTCCCTTTCTTTTGAAACACAAGTCCACCGGGCACGATGCTGGCGGGGGCTGTTGCATCAGGCAAGTTCAAGCTTAAAGTGTGGCGCGGACTTGGAGAATTTGGGGCCGTCCATTCAGGAAAGCCATCGCGTACTGGATCTGCACCTTCAGCAACAATCAGTACCGCATCGAGGAGGAAGCGAACTTACGTGGCTTGCAGGGTCCTTCTGCCTGTTGGGTTCATCTTGGTCCCAATGGCAGAGGCAGAGGTCTTCGCTTGCATTTGGCCAGCTGTGCAGGAGCTGGGCGCTACTCATCAACAGTCATCTTTCTACCTCGCCTTGCACAGCGGGGTTTGCAAGGCAAGCTTGACTTGAGGGCTGGTACTCGTCCTTCAGGGCTCCGCGCTCTTTGCGTTTTCGTGTTCGGGTTCTTGTCGCCTTTGTGGCCCCGCGGAAGCTGGGGCGAGTGTCGACCCCGGATTCATTAACCTGGCGGATGATAGGGCGCTTCCCCGGTGGAAGATTTCCCTCCAGAATGGACACCCTTCTATCAATCAAAAAACAAGATTTATCCTGGGCTGCCATTAGTCACAGAAGCGCTGCCACTTCAATCTGAACACGATGATCTGGACACCTGAAGCTGGCACCTGTGCATGGCTGCTTGATGTTTCGGGTTTGGCGTCCGCGCATTCTGACTGCCCCATTTGACACCAACTTGCGAGAACCTTCCGCGGCACGGGCAAACACTGGGAAGCAAAGACCATTAAGTGTGTCGAGTCCACAAGGTGGTTGGCACCGTCCCAGATAGGTGGTTGGGGGTCCCTATATTTCGCGTTTTTGTGGTTTTCCACCTTGTCTTTTTCGCCCTTTCAAGGTAGGCTTCCCTTGGTACGGGTGATGCTTTGAGGGCAAATGTCGGGAACCCTGTTCTGAGTGTGGGGACTTTGACTGGCCACGTTGGCCCGACATACCCCCAGATTGCTGCAGGGAAAGCTGTGGAGCCAGCCACCAGGAGACACGTTCTTGGTGTGAGTCAGCCCTTTGTCCCTAGCTCCCTTTTTACAATCCCAGGCAGCCTTGACTGTCGTTGGTTGAAAGCGCTGTTTTAAGCAAGAAGTACCTGCTGGCGTTATTAGGTGATGTCCCAAGCAGGAACTTGCGGTAAATCGCCATTGAAAGGTCTTTCCCTGGCAAGGGTCGTAAATAGAAATTACGAGTCATGGCCATTTAACACTATCATTCTAAAATGGTGCCATCACACGCTTCCACATATGGCTGCAAGTAGATGCACACTCTCCTAATATTGATCTAGTCATCATCCTTGGCTACTTTCCCTCCTAAAAAGGGAGTTGTGCCATCTACTTCCCCCAAGAAATCGGAAAACTCGGCCCCTTCGCACGGCGGTTTGGTTTTTCTTCCGGCTTTGGAACAACGAAGATGCGAGGGCACCGCCATGATCATGGACGAGAACGCGTCGCTGCTGAAGCGGTCCTGGTGCCTCTTTGAGCTCCTGCAGACAGTGAGGCCAGGCGCGTTGCTCCGAGCACTTGGGCCCCAATGTCACAGGCTAGGTCTTTTTGCCCTGTTACCATTTCTTTTTTGGGGAGGGTTCCCCTACTAAAATAGACTACGGAAAAAGCCTGGCCTCATTCTAACCACTCCACTGGAGGACCTAGTGGGACATGGAAACAAAGACGAGAACCTGCGGTTTGCTCTAGCTCTCGAATTTTGAGCCCCAAGTCGACCCAAGCAATGAATGAACCCTTGGTTTGGATTGGCCCGCTTGCGTGAACTTCCCGCGGGATCGGTTGGCTTACCACATGGCCCGAAGTGGTTTGGAGCCCGGTGGTTTGGATGTTGATTTGAAGCCTTGGTTCATGTAGAGGGCAAAGGGGATACCAATCCAAACCACCAACCAGGGGCAAGCTGAAGCAACAGCCCCCTTGTTCCAGGGTCACTGGCTTCAACTGGGCCAGTTTCTGCCATGAAAGTTGTTCTTCAGGTTTGTGAAGAGTGAGTCGCCCTGTTCGCCCTGCAATGAGGTTGTCTATTTGGATGTTCGGCCAAGTTAGAAAGTGGTTAGCCAATTGGGGTTTTTCACACCCGAATAGCAAGGTAAACCCCACTGAATGGAGGACATTATAAGTGGGTTAAACCTACGTGACCAACAACTTCCTAACCTGGCGAATCGAACATCCAAGTACCTTACGTCTCGCATGTTTCTTCCTTCCACTTTGTCCGTCCTTCGATCAGCTTGCAGCTCCTTCCGGGCTGCAAGCTACGTGATCCCTTTAAGTGGGAAGTTTCCACCGCGGTTTCGGGCGGGGGTGGATCCGAAAGGGCATCTGCAATTGTGTGCTGAATCCTCCAGACTGGGGCAATGCCCAGCAAAAGCCACAAGGGGACGAAATCCACCAGACTGGGATGGAGGAAGTCCTACAAATTGGCAAAACCCACCGCTCGCAGGCTGGAGCGAGAACAGCCTGGTTTCCACCTCTGGTTCTGCACGCCCACAGGCGTGCTGCAGCTTGGCCTTGGCGCACGGTGTCTGCATTTCTTGGTATTCTAGGGCTGCTTCCAAGGGGTCACAACACGCGAACCCGAAATTAGGAACGAGCTACATGTATTTCCATCGCTTCTTTGTGGTTCCAAGTTGGGTTTTCCAGGTTGGCAGGTCGCAGTTTGTGGTGGCCCCCTTTCGATTCAACATTGCCAGCCGTGAGGAAAAGAAAGGATCCCCTTGTGTTGTTTGGCTAGGAATAGATGGCACTGATTTGGATCAAGGCGCCCCAACTTTCCGTGAAGGTCCTTCGCCTCGCACGCACTTGTCGACATGGTGTGTTCATGTGGGTTGCTTTCAGCCAAGGCTTCAAACAGGCTTGCCTTTCATTTCCGGGCAGGCGAGAAGATATCAATGTTTGGCAGGATCAAGCATCAGAACTCATCTTGCAGGATGCCCCCTTCTTTCATTCTTGGGACCTGGAGAGAAACAGAATAACCCCTGAATAGACGGTCTCACCAAAATGAATATGGTTGCGGGGCCCACCGCGGGTTTTTCCCTTATCGCCGCTGATTTGCATGTACGCCTTCGGGCAGGCCCCCAGCATGTTTTGGTGTAACATATGCGCTATTTGGGATTGAACCGGGTGACAAATGCCGGCATGTGGAGTCCTCAAGCAGAAGGATAAGCACGACCCTTGTTGAGGAGCTCCGCTCAAAGAATCGGAACCCTCAGACCGTGAGAGGTGCTTCAAGGCCCTTTGCAGCAGCAAGTGCTTGCATTCAAGTGAAGAAAAATCAACCGGTTGAACTTACGACTTTGTTTTGATCTTGCGGTGAGCTTGTAGCAAAAAAGTCACGTATCAGAGTTGTGGGATCAGTCGGGGTGTATCCCGACTAGTGATACAAGGGAATCGAGAGGCCCATTTTGTTGGAGCAGAGGTCGCCGAGCTTCGCTGAGCTTGGGCTTGGGGATATCAAGCAAGGCCTTCTTAGACTTCGTGAGGCCTTGGGGCATGGCATAGAGGACTGAGTAGCTATGGAGTTGTGGGCACTTGTAAACCCATGTTTAGTCATGAAACCGGGGAATACACCTAGCAAGTATTGGTGCGCATCTTCTCACAAGGTTGCAATTCCAAGTGAAGGCCCATCAACGAGGTTGAATCCGGAGTTTCCTGTAGCCTGCTGCACCTTGCAGGGTCCAGACCAGCCTCTTCCGGCCGAGGAATTACGGGCATGCGACGGTCGAACTGGCCATGAACATCGGGCGCATCATCAAAGATCTGAGCAGCTTGGACCTCACTAATGTTGACCCAGGATAAATTGTCCCCGCCCCAGTATTAGGAGGGTGTTCCCTCCAAAAGTGATGAATCCCCACTTAAAGGGGACACCCCCCTATTAATCAACCAGCGGTTTATTTATCCGGGGTTAACATTAGCCTGCTGGCCCCTGGCGCGCCGCCGGTAAGTGCCAGCAACAGGAGGTGCTCAGCAAAAAGATGACACCCTTTCAGCATGAGGTGCTTAAACGAAAAGAATTCCAAGGGTACACGCCCCAGGCATATTGTGGATGGAAAGCCATTGTTTGTTGGTAGTTGCAGAGGGGTCAGCATTCCAGGCTTTCTTTTCAGGTGGTGCAGGATTTCATCCATCAACAGTAGGCCTTAGGTAAGTTTGGATAGACATTGATGGCACTTTGGCATTATGCCATCCATGTGCAGGAAAACCCAATGCTTCCAAAAGGTCAGCGAACAGGTGTGTGGCCGTGGTTCCCCTTTAAGCAGTCTCCGAGATGCCCCTGGTGTTTGGAACTACCCCTATGGACTAGCCACATGGGAAGCCCGAAATTCGGTGGAGTCCAGTTGAAGCAGCGCCACTACCCAAAGACACAAACCCAGCGACGAGCTGTGTAATATTTATACATATCCATGTATATAGATATATATATATATATATATATACTAATATTCCTTCAACATGTTCAACAGAACGCCATGCTGACAAAGGCTACTCCCATCAGTACTGTGGATAGTTGCGAACTCCATTTCGCACCATTCAAAGCCCCCCCCTCTGATTTCTGATTCGACCATTGTTTCATCTTGCTGGTGCTCAGCAGGCTATAAACCATCCACTTTGCTTTTTTCTTTAACGGAATCCCCGAACGGTTCATTCCCACCACCCAGGGGTCATTGCCTACCCCCTACTCCAGATACCCACTTTTTCCGGGGTATGTTGTGAAGGTAAATGCCTCCTTTTTTAGTAGAGGGTCGACATGATACCCTAAAACAAGGCCGGGTAAACCGCACGTCATGTCTCCTTCACTCGCCTGCGAGGCCTGGAGCAAGCGACGGCCACGAGCCAGGCCTGGTGTTGGACCGAACCCGGTTCGGGGTGCCGGCCTCGCCCCAATTTTACACAATTTGACTGGGCTGATCCTTTACTTTCTTCTTTTTTTTTTGGGGGGGGGGCTCCAATTGGAAGGATCCTTTCTTCTTCTTCTTTTTTTTTGGGGGGGGGCTCCAATTGGAAGGATCCTTTCTTCTTCTTCTTTTTTTTTTGGGGGGGGGCTCCAATTGGAAGGATCCTTTCTTCTTCTTCTTTTTTTTTGGGGGGGGGTTGTCCGAATCTTGGCAGTTCCCAACCATCCGGGTTTCCATTTAACAAACCATTCAGTTCCAGGAAGGTGGTGGGTGGCTTTTCGGCAGGGTTTAATGGTTCGGGTTTCCGTATTCACCCACAGGTAGCTTTCCTTTTCTCAGGAGGTCAGAAAACGGACAGCCAAGAAAATGTTCATTCACCCGGACCCTAATCGAAGGAACTAAGATAGAACGGTTCAAAGGGAATCCCTGATTCGCACTCCGGAAGAAAATCTCGGAAGCTTGACGTTACTTGTCCCCAGTGAGTTGGGCCGGGGCCAGGAGATGGTCCGGCAAAAAAAGTGACCTGGATGGCCGAATTGCCGCTTTTTCGGTCACTGGTGCTGGTTTTGGGGTAAAGTGGATGGAAAAAAGCAGCAACTGGCGATCCAGGGAGTTGAGCCTCAAAGTAGTTGGGACCCAGCTTGGATGGGCGTACCCTTACTGCAAAACGCCCTCCACGAGCTAGAATTGGCCTAGTTTTGGCACACCTGACTGTAAAGCGACCCGCTCCCAAGCCAATGTTGCTTGAAAGTGGCTGTTTGGGCATGGCTGATTTCGCCCGCCGGATTTGTCGCAGAGCTTTCCGCACGACCTTAGCTTTCCCAACGCCCCTGTTTTTTCCGGCGGGACAAAGAATGATTGGGGTTCGGGACTGCTTGAATGAATCGGCTTGCTTGTGACCAGCTACTTTGTGCATAGCCAGTCGCCCACATGCTGCAGATGCTTTGCGCACGTTTTGCCCAATGGGGTGGACTACTCGGATGAGAAAGTTTGTGTGGATTGGGTACACTACACGAACCGAATCGGGCCCCCGTTTTACCTGTACTGGGTTTTACCTGTACTGGGGGGGGTTGAATCAGGATCCTCTGAGCTTCGTACAGAGGGCCTGGATTAGACTGTACCTAGGGGCTGTCAAAGTCGGAAACAGCCTGCAACCCACTTGCGGGGTGAGCTTGAGAATGGAAAATAAGGGGTCAGGGATTACATGCACAGGGGTGGCTTGATGTTGCTGGGATACACTGGGATCTTGAAAGGGCTTGCAAACCACTTGCCAACTGCTGAATGCATTAGCCTGAAGCTTTGGATTGATTTTGGGACTCACTAGCCCCAAAAGAGGTCCAACTGGAACAGGGACCCTTCCGCCATGTAGTTCCCCTACTTGGACGTTTGTCGCCGGCCTGGGAAAACCGCCAACCACACTCAGGAGATAGCCAAGAGATTTGTCTATTTCTCCAAAGGGGGCATCTGGCGGGGATAATCAAGGGACAAATTGTGTTGTTGCTTCACGCCCCCAAGTCGCCCCCTGGAGAAGCAGATAGGCTGACAAAGACATGATCGAGAAGCTGGTGCTCGAGGAGATGGGAAGCCCTTTGGCAGCCTACAGGGCAATGGCCGCCCTAAAGGGTTGGGTTACAGGAAAGTCTACTTCTTCAGGTTGTTTTGGGGCCATTTCCTGTAGAGAGAGAGAGAGAGAGAGAGAGAAAGAGAGAGAGAGAGAGAGTGTGAGAACCCTTTGAGACATGGAAGCGCACAGGCTCCCAGGCGGCTCCCATGTTTCAAGGGGTCCCTTCAATTGAAGCTGCTGGGAGGTTAGATGTCAATGTTACAATTCTCCGTGAGGGCCAGTGAAAATGGGTAAGGATTCTGGGAAGGGAATATTCCCTGCTGAAACGCCAAAGGGAACTTGATCGTAAGCAAGTTTCTGACGTTCCATCAAGAGGTCTTATAACTCTTGACGTGCATGGAAATGTGCCCGTTTGTTGAAGGGCATCCGCTTTACCTTTGGCGGATTACTTGCAAATGCTCAGCCCCCTGAAGGGTTCCTTTGATCTTTAGCACAAAATTGGAACCTGTCAGGACGTCAATGCCAGGGAATGGTGTTTCAGGATGCTTTCGTTTGTTTGGGTACTTCACTGGTCCGGTTTTAAGGGGGCAGTTGGGGCGGCGGGGGGGGAATGGGGGGGGGGGGAATGGGGCCTATTGTGCGATGGCTATGGGGGGCATGTATCGGAGAGTATGGGGGTTTGTCTCAAATTAGGGATTCCCTCTATGTGGGTACTTTCCTTTTAGTTTCACTTTAAAACAACCACCAAATATGTTTCTCAACAAGTCATGACAAACCGTATTGCAAAAAGGGTTGTTTTCTGAAAGAAAGCTGACACACACACCCAAAGCAAGCAGGTTTTCTCTCAAACAAAGATGACAACCACCCACAACCAAAACCTGGCTGTCTTTGTTTTTCTCATTAAAAAAGAAAAGGACGAGTCACCCGGCAGCCTATGGGGTGGCAGTGAGGCTTTCGCAACATCGACCAGATACTTCGGGATCACCTGGCCGAAGCCCTCAGGCGGGCGACCGAAGTCAGGCTTGAGAAACCCGTCCAGAGGACCCACCCGGCTTTTGGAGAGGCCCTTGGGTGGGAAAATGGATTGCCGGAGGGGGTGATTTTGGGGGTGGGCAGGACAAAAAAGAAGCTTGCAAGATGGCTTGGATGTAGCAAGGCTAGCATCCAAGCTTTGGTCGCACCCCATGCGCTACTCTAAATCCGAACTTGAAAACCTGTTGCGTCAAAACCCAAGGCCAATATGGGGCCCCAATTGACCTGTTGAAGCTTTGTTCGCAAGGATGCGGAGTGAAGGTCGCTCGCCCTTGCACAGGAAGTGCCAGACGGAGGTGAATAGCAACTTCGAGGGCCTCTTCACCGACCTGCGAGGCTTCTCGGCTGAACCACAGCTTTCCCTCGGAAGGTTCCACCGGAAAGTGAGAAGAAGCTCTTTCTCCTGTTTTGTTTGACGTGTTAGGAATGCAAGAAATGGTGTGAGAAGCTGGCTTAATACAAATGTTTGGGCTCTGTTTGGACCAATCCACTCCAGAAGGAAGAAAGTAAAAAGGCATTTCATCAAGAGGGTGTGCATGCTTTCGGGGTCCCACTTCACGTTCAAGCGCAAAGCCGTTGCTATCGGTGTGGCGTGGCTAGCTGCGGACCGGGGCTGCTTGGCGGGTGAGGCTTGCGGTTGGACCTGAGCGCAATGTTGAGACAAGAAGGCCTGCTGACCCGATTTCAAAGCAACAACTGGCTGTAAGCTCACTGCTGTCACACAAGCCGGGAACCCGGTCAACGCACGAAATTGCACTGAACGGAGAGGCATGCTGTGCGCATATCCAGCTTGGAGTTGCAACCTCTTGCGCGATACTACGCACCCCTTTGGCGTGCGAAATAAATCACTGTAGGCAAGAAAATAGTTGGAGTCCGTTTGCGGAAACACTGCCAGAGTTCTGAAGATGGGCAATCCTTAAGTAGCTTCTGCGGGTCATTCATCTGCCAGTGGTTATACATTTACTGTATGGCCCTGTCTGAATGTGAGACAGCTTGCCGTGCGCAGCGTTTCCGAAAGGCGATGTGCAATGCTCAGTTCGGCAAGAGCGGCCAGTCGCCCTTCCTAAGGTAAGAATGAAGTCATCCTGGAGATGGCAGACATGGCTGAGGCCGTGAAGTGATTGTTAGATGCGGGGGGGGGGGGGGGGGGAGGGGGGGGGGGGCGTCGAAGCCTGTATTTTCTTAAAGCACGGACTCAGCGAAGTGCGTCAGCAGGGGACTTGTAGAGCAAACCAGCAAACCTTGTCTTCGACTTCAGTTGCTCCGTGAACCTACCGGAGTTTCCGTTGAGCAAAAACTGTCAGCTCCAGAGGGGTCTGGAGCTCATGCTCCCATCAAGTTGGCTTTGGCTGGAGTTGGTGCCTCTTCGGGTTCTAAGCTGCAGGGAATCCGGGCAGTTTGCGCACTAGAGCAGAAATGCAGTTTGCCCTCCCCCAAGCACAGACAAGGAACAAGTGTCGTGATGTTCCATCCAGGATTGTCTTCCATTTTCGAGAAGACAATGCTTTGTTTTCCCCTGTTGGTGTTAAAGGAGTTCTATCACTACTAAACATATTGTCTCACTTTCCTCATGGGGCGCAAACGCAAATTGATGTCGCAGCCGATCAGAAGCTTTGCCGGGCCAAGGGAACGCTGACAAAGATTTGAGCAGCACGCAGTCGAATTCGACGAGAGCTGGTGCTTTGCCGTCCAGACCTCCGGAGCTTTCTCCAAAATCGCCCATAAACCCATGGCTGGGGGTCTTCGACTGTTCCACTTGTCGAAGCCCTAGATTCATCGCCCGATCTTTGGCTTCGCTTCTTCCCCGTGCTAAAACGTATAGGAGCCGACCAGTCGCCCCATCGACCCACTAGCTTTTCGACCAAGAAACTCATGGGTGTGGGTCCAAAAATCGGTATCCAAAATGGAATGGAAAACGTGTGATCCCCTGGTGGTTTAGTTTGACCAATACATGCAACTGGATCCGTCGGAATCACGCGAGGCCTGGGTGAATCAGGTTGTATGTGCACGCATGTCCACTGTCAGAAACACCCGATCATTGCGAAGTTACACACACTCGCGAGCACGCCTGGAGCCTTCTGAGTGTTTCATGGCTGTTCACCCAGCCATGAGCCGTTGTGTGCGAGTGTGGTGTCGTGTTGCTGAAGGAATGCACAGCGTTTGTTTGATGTCTTTGTTTGCTGGCTTAACTTGAAGTGCGCGACGTCTAAATTTGTGTTTGGTTTTTGTCATCCCTCCGCCAAGGAGAAGAGGGCTCCAGCAGATTTTGGTTGACTCACAAGAAGCCAAAGGCTCCCTTTTGGTGGTCCGGCATGTCGCTTAAAGCGGACCCGGAACGCAACATTTGCAGTCGAATGCCTGCGGGCATGGCAACTTGTGTTTGGTCCTCAAAACACATTTCTCCCCTTGGGATGGTTCAGGTTTACTAAAAAACAGAAGTTGCCCTGCCGCGGATGAACGCGCACCGCGCAAAGCGCGGAGTCGCCAATGTCTTGCAGCAAAGCGTTCGGGCAGGTTGCTAAAAGCTGCACCGATTCCGGCATGACGCATTTGCAATTGTGATTGTCCTTAGGACCCTCCCTTCTCCCAAGAGCGAGGTTCTTGAAACCTTAGGGGGGCCTTATCTAAATGCAAAGGACGACCATCCAATTCATGAAGGTCGCTGTGCATCTTTATGGTTGGCATGTGAGAGTGCTATGGTAAACTGCATGACAATCAGAGAGGCTTGGGCACGCCAATCCGCAATTCCACACCGACCCAAACAAGTTGTGGCGAATGGGTGACTTGATGGATGTCTCTCTTTGCGAGCCCTAGTTAGGGTTTTCTGTCTTCTTTTCTGGGAGCTGTTACCTCGCACTGAGGACATGGCCATTACCTCTTCTGAGTATTGCGAGGCTACGGAGCAGTCGCCCTTTGGCAGCCAAAGGGGATCTGCAGAAATCACTTGAGCTCGCGAGGTCATCACCCATGACCATCGTTCTGATCTGGCGTGATGTTTACTCGTTGTCGGTGATATGTGCTTCACCTGGTATCGCTTTGTGTGAGCTCACGGGTGTGCTACCCTTTCACTTCTATCCAACCACTGGACACACGGAATGGAGGCATTGACTAGGTCTTTGCAGGAAGCGAGCGACTAGCCTTTCGCATGTCCAAATTGATCGATCAGGAGCTCATGGCCTAGGAAGATAAATCGTTGTAAGGAGCCCTAGGCTGTTGCTGGCACTTTCTGGTTGGACCACCTTTCCGGCAGCAATGCGACTTAGTGGCCTCAGCCATAGCTTCATGCTTCAAATTTGTGAAAGCCCATTGTGACATACCCCTTGGGCAGTTGCAATACTCATATATGTCTTGTGTCTTAGGGGACCCCCAAAAGTAGCTGGTTTCGCCTTATTGGTTTCCTTGTAAGCCAAATCGAGGGGCACCCTGAAAACAGACAAACTTGCATGTAAGGGCAGAGGAGCTCTTGCTCGAAAAGGGACGCCTTCAGGCGTAGTTGTCCACCAGAAAACTGGAGCTTTGGCCCTTCATGTCCTTCTTGAAGCACAAAATATGGGGGGTGATGTTCCACGGAAAACCCAAGATGTGACTTGTCATTGGATTCCCTTGCAGGTGCAGCTATTGCCTGCAAGTCCCGCCTTGATACTCGGCCCTGTCAGGAAGGGCACGGAAACAGACCGAGGCCCATCTCAAAATGACGCTCTCAATTTGAGACCCCTCAATTGCTGGCAAAAGGGACGCAACACATGTTCTTGTTTCTTTGCGAACCGAGCGACCCCTCTTCGGAGAAAACAAAAGGATCGATGAGCTACCGACCAATTGCCATCTGAGGATGCTCACCCTTCAGGACTCCTCTGCTGAGCTGGCCCGGGCACTCAGAATTTGGCCAGTTGCCTGGCGCACGTGGGCATGCCGGCCAGCAAAACATGCTACAAATACTAGGTGGAGTTCCACACAAAGTCTCTTGAGTCACACTTGAGCAGGGTTCCGCGCATTGTATGCACTTTTTATCCCCTGGGCACAAAATAGCCTGTCCTTTGTCATTTCCCGGGGGGCCCGCGATGGGGTAGGTGATTATATTTTCCAGGCCTCCTATTTACCATCCAGCCTTCCAGCCCCACTGGCCATGGCGTAACTGGCCATGCATAAGGAAAACGAGGCCGCATGGCGAGTGAGAGTCGTTGGTGTGAACTGTCAACTCTGCTGCCCTTTGCAGTTCGCTCAGGTTTTGAATTGGACCCAGCTCATTTTCCAGGCCTTGCCGGACATGCTGTCTTTTCCATGCTTGGAAATCAGGAAGTACGGAAATGCCCGGGAATGTGAAGTCCTTGCCAGTCTGGCACAGCAACAGACTCAGTTTCACCAAGGCGTTTCCAAGATTCAAACTAGGCCGCTCAAAGTGATCATGCTGAGGGTTAACACGTGTCTTGTGTTTGTGTTTTGCTGTTGCTTTCTGTGTTGTGTTTGTGTCTTTTTTGGGGGTGTTCCATGAGCACCAGCACAAGCATTTGCCGTAGACGGTGATGTTCAAGATGCCACTTTGATGGACTCACTCAAGCCCCTGAACGAGCGATGGCGGGTCCCAGCTGCTTTGATATGTGCACTGTTGCACGTGTGGTTGCAGTGGAGTTCTGTATGGTTATTTGGTTGGATCTTTGGCATTCAACGGGTTTTTTGCTTTCAACCTTTTCGATTCTCCATTGGACCCACAAGTTAAGCTTTTTGCATAGGGGTCAACGACCACCACTCGGATTTACGCACGTATCGGTCGGTGTTTGCTCGCTGGAGGCGCGTTGTTTGTCTCATGGCACGTGAGCGGATACACGCCACAAGGAAAGCACGTCTCAATGATTTGGAATTGCGATTTGAACCGTGACAGGGAAGAAAGAGAGAGAGATGGAAAGAGAAAGAGAATGAAATGGAAAGAGACAGAGAAAGAGAAAGACAAAGGGAGAGAGAAAGAGAGATCGCGATAGTTCAGTCAAGTCAGTCAGCATGTAGCCAGCCGCTGGCTCCAACCAGGTCGCGCTGTCGTTGCCATCGTCTGTTCAAGGTGGCTCAGTCCCTGAAATCCACTCAAGAGCTTTATGGCAATGACCCACAAAAAGTTCAAAACTTGTTGCAGAGGGAAGACACTAAGTTTCACGGTTCCCAGCCACTCGGTTCCTTCCTCTTTTGGCCCTTCAGTTGGTTGAGTGGCGATTTCTTCGAAGTTCACCGCCAAGTTCTTCACGTTTCACAGGTCTGAAAACGGCCAGCCCCAGCAAAAAGAAAGGCATCCGACGCAACCACCTGGCAGGCCGGCGGCTGGGCGATGATGACGGGGGTCTCTGCGCTCTTTGCGGCCGTGGCGGCAGGAGCCTCAGAGTCAACCAGAACTGTCAGTTGAAACGATTCGCTGTTCGCGTTTTAGCTTCTTCCATGTGTGGTTCAGAATGTAGGTTGTATTTGCCCCTTGGCTTTTAAGGGAATCGATTTCACTACTGGAATTTTGCTTGATTTGTTTCAGGGGACTTGTGCAAATGGAAGGCTTGGAATGGGTTTGTGCTCAAAAGGCAATCTCAAAATGGGTGGTGCTCCCTTGGGTTTTCCTTTAAAGCCATTCGAAAAGGATACCCTCTCCCAAAGACACACCGAATATGCGGTGGGAAAGAAGTTTGTGCTGTTGACCAGGTGAGTCAAGTGACAAGCCCCTTGGTGCAATTCGTAGGGCTCACTCACCGCGGTTGCGTGCCCTTTGTGCCCCTGGCCTGTGGCCATGTCTCACGAGTTGGGCCCGTTTGCCCATAGGATGTGGAGTGTCGAAACGGGCGAGCCCAAATCAACACGGCCAGCTCCAATTCGCAAAAGCGAAGCATGCGTGTGCGCGTCCTTTTTGTTCAGTTTGGTGGAGATTTTTAAGGGCCCCAATAGACATTGGTGTAATCATCTATCTGCCAGGGCCATCGATTTTCCCCAAAACGAGACCTACTGTCCCCCAGGCTAACATGGAAGCTCCGCGGACCTTCTTTGGAAGACTTGGTTCCAGCTTCCATGGTAGTCTGAGGGAGGAGAAAGGCTCAGACCAGAGAACTTGGCCGAAGGTGGGCATGCCGGAATACAACGATCCTGCAGGCCGGGCCAGCTGGTGCTCACAAATCGGTCTTCAAGGGTTTGTGTGTGTGTGTGTGTTGTGTGCGTGAGATATTGTTTGGGGCGCTTGTGTGTGAGAGTTTGAGGTCTGGATTGCGTACGTGCGTGCGTGCGCGGGTGGGTGGGTGGGTGCGTGGGTGCGTGTGTGTGCGTGCATGCGTATGTCTTTGTGTGTGTGTGGGTATGTGCGTGTTTGTCTTTGTTCTTCTGCGTGTGCTTGTGTTTGTGATTGTGATTGTGAATGTGTTTGTGTGTGTGTGTTGTGTGTCGCTTGTTGCTTGTTGCGTGTTGTGTATTGCTTGTTGTGTGTTGCGTGGTGTGTGCTGTGTGTTGTGTGTTGTTTGTTGTGTGTGTGTGTGCTGTTTGTTGTGTGGTTTGTGTGTCTTGTGATTGTTTTGTGTTGTGTGTTGTGTGTTGTGTGTTTGTGTGTTGTGTCTTTGTGTGTTTCTGTGTTTGTTGTTGTGCGTTGTGTTGTGTTGCGTTGTGTTGTGTTGCGTTCTGTTGTGTTGTGTTATTGTGTTGTGTTGTTGTTGTTGTTGTTGTGTTGTGTGTGTGTGTGTGTTTGTGGGTGTGTGTTTTCGTGTGTTTGCTTGTGCTTGTGATTTTTTTCTTTCTGTGTGTGTGTGCGCGTTTGTCTCTTGTCTTTTGCATGTGTGCGTGCGCTTTTGTTTTGCACGTGTG